GACAGGTGATCAGCGATATACATCTGGGAACCAGGTTTGTATGTCACATCTAGATTGTAGCGTTGTAGTCTCAACATCATTCTTTGAAGTCAGCAGGGTGCCTCTAACAGTGATTTCTTGAAGATAGACTGGAGTGGCTTTTGGTCTGACTCTACTGTGACCTTTTCTCTTCTGCTGATGTACTGTGCAAACTTCTCACATCCGAAGATGATGGCGAGACACTCCTTCTCAATTTGAGCATATCTTTGTTTCGTTAGAGTCAGTGTTCTAGAAGCGAACGCAACAGGTTGTCCATTTTGGAGAAGTGTGGCTCCGAGACCCTTTTCACTTGCGTCACATTGCAGTGTCACTTCTTCGTTGGCATCATTATTAGTTGGCATCAGTATTTCAGGACGGGGTGGCTAGTAACCAGTTGTTTCAGCTCTTGGAATGCTTTGTCATGTTGTGCCGACCATATGAATTGAGCATTCTTTGTTGTTAGCTCCCTGAGCGGTCGGGAAACTTCAGCTAACTTTGGCAGGAATTTCGCCAAGTAGTTTACAAAGCCAAGTAGACTTAATAGTTCTTGTTTTGTCGTTGGTCTTGGCATGTTTTTGACGTCTTTCACCTTGTCAGGGTCTGGCTTCAAACCATCTTTTGTGATTACGTGTCCCATGAACTTTACCTCAGCTTTCCGTAAGTTAATTTTTTTTTAAGTTTATTTGTGCTGCTTTAGTGAGCAAAGTTTTCAAGTTCTGATCATGATCTCTCTCTGCTTCTTCTTGTTTGTCTCCATAACCGATCACGAGTATGTCGTCTCGAAGAACTTCTACGCCGGGTAGATCAGCTAGTTTCTCTTGGAGCTGTCGCTCAAACTCTTCTGATGCTGTGTTGATACCAAATGGCAGCCGCAAGTACTTGTAACGACAAAAGGGTGTCCAAAACGTGGTGAGCTTGCTGCTGGGCTCGTCAAGTGATATTTGGTAATATCCGTCTTTAGCGTCTAATGTTGTGAAGATCTTTGCGTTGTTCAACTTGGGTAGTAATTCATCTAATGTAGGCATCTGGTACTTTGGTCTCTTCAGCGCCTTGTTCAGATCACTCGGGTCAA